GGACCAGGCCCAACCTTGCTGGCTGTGGAGATGTAGGAATAAGGCCAGGAGCCAAGGGATGTGGGCCGACTCCAGAAGCTGGAAAAGGCCAGGGAATGGATTTTCTCCTAGAGCTTCCAAAAGGAACTCAGCCACACCAACATGTTGGTTTTGGCCCAGTGAAACCTATTTCAGATTCTGACCTGCAGAGCTGTACTGTAAGATCAAAAATGTGTTGTTTCAGCCACTAAATTTGTGGTAATTTGTTACAGCAGCAACAGAAAACAAATATACCTACCAAAAAAAGCAAAACAAAGCAAAAATTCCAGTAATAAACAGGCACTGAAAAAGACTGGAAAGGTCTTCAATAAAATGAAAGCGATCAGTTGTAACTGGTTGGTGAATCTCTTTATTTTTAAAGAATGATAATGTATTTTTCCATATTTCCAAATTTTCCAATACTTTTTTTGTACTGCTTTTATAAGGGGAAAAAGTTATTTTCTCCCTAAGAGATCCTACCAATCCTTCAAGGTCCAGGTCAAACACTGCCTCCTCCAGGGAGCTTCCCAGACATTTAGTCCTGACCAGGGGTGGCCGCTCTGATTCCACGGCCTTAACCCTGCACCTGGATTCCAAATGCCTGGGGAGCAGGGTCCATGTCAGACTATCCCCAGGGTTCAGGGGCCCCAGCTAGTGTAAGCTGAATGTTCAAGAACTGAGATCAGGAAGAATCAATCATTTTTCATTAATAAATACACAAAGCTGTATTTCCCCACACTCTGATGGGATCCTCTGGGGAGTGGGGAGGGGTGGAAAGGTGGGAAGGGGAGATAGACACTGCCTCCCAGAAGCTATCAGGGCACAGTGGGCAGAACTTCCTGCAGGACCTGCTCTAAAGGCTGTAAAGGTTTCTGCTCCACATCTGAAATGGGGGTGCATCCTAACAACCTTGATTTCTTCTCCCAGTAATACGTCAAGGTGGAGGGTGTAAGCAGATAGGGTAGGGGGTCTCCAGAAAAAGAGAATGAAGCATGTCTTTCTTGCCATAAGAGAAGCCATTTTTGGCCTAAGCCATTTTGTGATCTAAGCCTGGCCACAATGCTTGCCCTTGAACAGGTCTCAGCAATTAATGATCTTAAGGGACATGAGGGAAAGCAGAGACAAAGGAAAAGCTGTCAAGAAACAATAGCTCCACCATAAAACAGAGTCCTAGTTCCTCCTCAAGAGATAAACATGACAATCTGATACATATCTTTGAATTCTGCAGGAACTAAGGCCCCCACCCAGGTGGAGGGTTGAATAATTATGTTGACTTTTCATGACCTTCATGACTTCAATCAACTAAAGCCTGGACTCTGTCAATCTTTGTCCCAATTCTGTGCTGAATTCTCCTCTGCTAAAGCCCTTACATGAATGTGCTTGTACCCTTAGCTTAAAACATTCCCAGTTTTGCTGTTCGTGAAGACACTGCTTTGGGAAAGAAAGTGTTTTTACTCGCTGCAGGTAATAAATCCTTCCTTCTCCGGATCTTTGGCTTGGTGGTGTGTTTTGACTCAATGCCCACAAGAGGTGAACCTAATTTTCAGGTAACAGAAGGGATTGAAGTAACCCAGGTAACAGAGCCTGGGCCTCAAACCCCAGTGGGCCTTTGCTTGTTCTGAGCAGAATGGCGTGGGAGGTCATGTGGCTCAATGGCAGGGCCAGGGCCAGGGGTACTAAAATTGGATGTTCCCGGTGTTAGGGATGGTTGGGACTTCTCCAGCCATTTCTCAGTACCAGCTTCCAGAATCACCATCCAAAATCCAAGCTGAGCAGGCCTCTCTCCTGCTTTTCCTATAAGTGAAGGCTCCCCATCCCCTCCAGGTTGGCACCAAGCTCTTTATTGGGGTGACCCAGCACTCCTCACCCCCCAACCTCCTCTCCTGAACACCCCCATTTCCCACTTGACAGGATCCAGTCCCACTGCACCCCACCATCTTGAGCAAGCCCTTCTCCCACATGCCTTTGCTCACTACATACACGCACGCACACACACGCTGCACCCTTGTCTGGGATGTCCTTCCTTAGCCCCAATCCCCCATTGTTGCCCAAGAATAGGTTCTTGCCTCATGCAGTAAAGAATTCAAGAGCGACGCATAGTAAAGTGAAAGCAAGTTTATTTAGAGAGATACACACTCCACAGGCAGAGCGTGAGCCATCTCAGAAGGCAAGAGAGAGAAACCATGAGATACGGGATTGCTCCCTTTTATGGGCTTGGTACTTTCATATGCTAACATGTAGGGGGATTATTGCAACTATTTTGAGAAATGGGTGGGGATTTCCAGGAATTGGGCTCCACTCACTTTTGACCTTTTATGGGCAGCCTAGGAACTGTCATGGTGCCTGTGGGTGTGACATGAGGCTCAAGGTCAACTGGAAGTCAAACCTTCTGCCATCTTGGTTCTAACCAGTTTGTCCTGTCCTCAATTGCTGTGTCATTCCTTCAACAATTGTGCCCTGCTCCCTTCCCTCCTGTCTCATCATGGGTCTCCAAGTTCTCCAGGCCTCCTCTGAAATACTCCGGGCCCACCTAGGAGGTTGGGGCTCCTCCTCTGTCCTCCTAATCCCCTTGTGTCTCCATCATATCCCACCCTCCCACTCCCACCCCAAGCCTGCTACTAGCACATCCTCGGGCTGTGAGCCCACTCCTGCAGCATTAGCTTTAGAATGGCAGCTCTACCTTTAGAATGGATGCTGGAGTCCCTGACAATCCCCGCGTTCGCCTTTCCTACTTCATGTCATAGGGCACGAGTGGGCCCCCAGAGCTAGTGATGCAGGAAAAACGGATGTGGGGTGTGAGGAGGGCCATGTCCCAGGTCTCGGTTGAGCTCCTGGGATGTGCCCTGCCAAGTATGAGCCTTTGGCTTCACTCAGGAAAGAATTCAAGTGCAAGCCACAGTTGAATAAAGGTAGATTTATTTAGAGAGATGCATAACGCATAGAGTGTAAGGCAAGAGAAAGACAAGGAAAGAGGTGTGGGACTTGGGTGCTCAAGTTAAAGTAAAAGTAGGTACACACTCCACAGACAGAGTGCGGGCCGTCTCCGAAGAGGAGCGAGTGAAAAAGGACCACTAGGCATAGTGTTGCCAGTTTTTATGGGCTCGGTAGCTTCACACGCCTACAGGTGGGACCATTCCAACTGCCCAGGGGAAGGGGCTGGGATTCCCAGGAATTTGGCCACCACCCACTCTTTGACCTTTTGTGGCTAGCCTTGGGACTGTCATGACACCTGTGGGCATGCTATTCACCATGCTAATATGTTACAATGAGCAAATAATGAAGCTCAAAGTCTACTAGAAGTCAAACCTCCTGCGCTCTTAATCCTCAAGGCCAACTGGGAGTTGAACCTTCCACCATTTTGGTGTTAATTGCTGTCATTCCTTGAATGGCTGTGCTCTGCCCTCTTGCCTCCTGTCTCACAACGACCCCCATTTCTGGGCTCTCAAATGTCTGACATTCTTTACTGGGTGTGTCTCCCCTAACAAACTGATAACCCCAGGTAATGACAAACTTATCAGAGTCAAACCCCACCACCCTTCACGGGCCCCAAACTTCTTACCTCACCTGCCACCAATCAGAGACTTGCGCACAAACCGATCAGGCACCTTGTAACCCAACCTTATAAAAGACCCCAACAACCAGCCCTCAGGGCTCACACAGACACCCCTCGCCTGTGTGGCCCACTGTTGTCTATGACAGCATACCCCTAATAAACTCCTTTTCTATTCTCATACTTTAACTGGTAAATTCTTTTACCACCATGTCACCAGCTGGCTGCCTTGTTGTATCCCACAACATTTTCTTCTTGAAGTGACCCTCCCATTGGCTCCTGGGACCCCTTCCTTCTGTCCCACTATGCTTGATTGATTCCTCTTCCTCCACTATCCCTGAAGTCAGTGGTCCCCAAATGTCTGCCTCCACCCTCTTCTCCTTTTGCTTTAGGCAAGAAGTAATGCTCACACCCTCATCTTTGCTCCAGAGCCTCCGACCTCTGTATCCAGTTCCTTCCTGGGCAGCTCTTCAAGGATGACCCAGAGCCCCCATGACTCCACAAGGCCTGAACCCAACTCCCTCCAACCTGCACCCTACCTCTAGGATTCCATCTGCCCACCTGGGCATCATTCATCCTTCTAGTCACTCTTGTACACACACACACACACACACAACCGTCACCAGGGAACCTGCTGGATTCCTTTGTGAACCTCTGGAAGCCAAAGTCCCTGTGCACATTACAGATGATTCTTGGACTCATTTAAACTCCAGGATCCCTGAAAATAAGGTGGTCTCTAACTGCCTTCCCACACCAGGGCTCCTAGGACACCATCTGTGCCAGATGGTGACGCAGTCCCTTCCCTGTGGACTCGCTGAGTCAGGAGTGGCCAACAGCAACTCAGGCCAGCATGCCAGGCCTATCAGTTTCAATCCTAGTTAGATAATATATCAGGAATCGAAGGAAAATTCATATTCCTCAGGCAGATCTAATCTGCCCTTGTCACCCACCTTAGCCTGACCTTTGCAACTCCCTGGGGTGGGGCAGAAAGAGGGAAGGGCCATCCAGTTGCCTCCTTTTATGCAGGGGAAAGACTAGGTCCAGAAAACCTGCAGGTCTTCAGGAAGCCAAGGTCAAGCTGGGTCTGGGTCCCTGGACTCCCAACCCCCAGGCAGGGGCCGACAGGCAGCAGGTAGGGGCTCCGTCCAACATCTTCTGCTGCCTCTTAATGAGCTCAAAGGTTATTTTGGGGGTGGCAGGATTTTCTGCTTGACCTGTTAAGATCCTGGGAGAGACAAGGAAGAGGAGGAGGGCCAGGAGGTAGGAGGGGCCTCGGGAGCTGTCTTCTTCTGGGCCATTCCGGGCCTGCAGGAGCTGGCTGTCCTGGGGGAGAAGTAGGTGCTGCTGGGGGCTCCTGCCTCCCACTCGACCCCAGCTCGCAGAGCCTCAGGAGACTGCACCAAAAGGAGTTGTGGGTCATTCCCCGGAGAGGTCATCATGGCCTGCAGGAAGGGGTGCTTGAACAGTCAGACCAAGTGGGCCCTTGTCAGCGGGGCCAGTGTGGCTGTAGTGTTCACCATCGGGATGGTCCTGTGCTTCACGCTGCAGGAGCACACCCAACCAGGTAGGGGCCTCCCGGTCATGCCACCTGGCTGGCTTCGCCCATCCTTCCCTCCTTGTCCCCACCAAGACTCTGTCCACACTGATAGCTCTGATGGCCTCCTCTCCCATCCCTACTCATCCTCCTTCCACAGCTTGACTTGCCTCTCCTATCCACCAATCCCACTAAGACTTCACCCCAAGCAGAAGGTCCCGTTAACTTTCTTTCCCTTCCTCCTTTGCCCAGCTTCAGCTGCCTGAGGACCACAGAATCTCAGTCTTCAGCCCAACCTCCTTCTGTGCCCCCAGATTCCTTTTTGGGGAGTCACAGGGGCATCTCAAATTCAGCTGACTGCGCTGCACTTTCCCCACCACCTGCTGGTCCCTGCGCCCTCTCCCAGTGAAGGGCTCCTCCATTCACACGGGGACCTGGGAGCACCTCCTCTCCTCCTGTATCTTCAGCCCTGCGCCTCAAGGCTTCTTCCTTTCCATCATCTACCCTCCCACTCTGACCTCTCAGTCCTCCATCTCCTGCTGAACCCCTGCAGCAATCTTCCCCCTCCCACACAGACTCTCTGCCTGCCACCAGCCTGCTCTCGCCAGCCCATGCTCACTCTGCCACCAAGGAGATCCTTGTCTGCTGTCTCCAGCACACACTCAACTCCTTTGCTGGCACCCAAGGCCATTTACAACCTGATCACAGCTCTTTTTTCTAATTTTGCCCTATTCCACTTCTCTACATCAGTACTGGGCCGGGGCCATTCCCTTAGGCAATCACACTTTTTCCTGTGGCCAAGCTTTTGCTTATACTGTTCTCTCTGCGTGGAATAACCTAGTCCTCTCTTTTGGTCAAATTTACACACCATTCTTCTCAGTCTCCCTTACGTGTTCCCTTCTCAGTGAACTTCCTAACATCCCCAGGCTGGTTCAAAGCCTCCTTACACCCAGGAACCCATGTATTTCTCTTGCGCGCAGCACTGATGACTCTGGGGGACTCCGGGGTCCACTGTCTATCTCCTAGATCCCATGCTGGACACCCCCTGGGGAACCAGGGAGGGTCAGTGGGATGTACAGATGGGAGTCCTGGGCTGGGCGAGAACTGATGCTAATAGCCTTCTTGGTCTTGACTCCAGGCTGTAAGCAGGATGCGGTCTGCCGCCCCGACGCAGACATGCTGGACTACCTACTGAGCCTGGGTCAGATCAGCCAACGGGATGGCCTGCTGGTCAACTGGTACCACGCTGCCAACAGCCAGGAGGATATGAAGGCTGCCCTCAGCAGTAAGTCCAGTCGCCAGGACTGGGACAGGCTGGGGGGAGATGGAGGTAGAGCAGAGGAGGGGCTAAGGGAGCTCTACCTACAAGGAGGCATTCTGATAGGTATCTTGCCTTTCTCCACTTGAGGAAGTGGAGGCTCAAAGGTTAAATGACTGGCTTAGGTTGTACAGAGATGTCTGGTTCCAAGGTCATGTCCTGCCCTCCCTCCAATGGCTTGTCAGGAGACTGCTTCCCCACTAAGGAGGCCTTTGCCCTCAAAGCCTAAGGAAGCCAGAAGATGCGTTTGACCTCCAGCACTACCAAAAACAAGCTGTGAAAACCTGAGTAAATCAAAAAAGCTCCTGAGTCTCTGATTCAGAATGATTATGGGAGCCAGTCAGCAGCTGATTCCTGTGCGGACACGCGCTCCCATTCCATGTGGGGCCTCCTGGGACCATGAGCAAACTTTTGTGGGTACCATTTGACAGAAGAAAAATGAAGGCTCAGAAAAGTTTGGTGTGGGCCATCTCAGAGGGTCAGGGAGGCCACGAGGCATGGGGGTGGTTAAAGCAAAAGTAGATTTACACACTCCATAGACAGAGTGCTGGCCATCTCCAAAGGCAAGAGAGAGTGACCAGTAACCCACCCGAGGTCACACAGCTTGCAAGTGTTAGGACTGGGACTAGAAGCTGGCAGTCCTGGGTTCAGGGTGGGCACATAGCCATGCTGCTCTTCTGCCAGATGTGAGGCAGAGAGCTCCTGGCATCTGGGATGCCTGGTAACTTGCAGTCTGCTCCCTCTGGGGAGCAGCACTCCTTCCCACCTGACTGTGCCCCTGAGGACCAGGGCTTCTACTGTGGCTGCAGGAACCTGATCTTTCCCTCATTTCCTGTCCCTTCTTCAAAGCCCTACCCAAACAAGTCAGCCCCCAGATTCAGCATCTGGAAGGCACATAACAGGTGTTGATGACAAGGGAGAAAATTTCTAGGAGGAAGGTGGAACCAGGTGGCGATCACAAGGAGGCAGGTTAGGTCCATCAGTCTTTAGTCCACTTCACTGAACATTTTCTGGGCCTCTGCTCTGGACCCAGGTCAGAAGGAAGGTTTAGAAATGATTGAGACATGACCTGGGGTTGATGGAGCTCGCAGTGTCTCAAGGGAGACAGCTGGTGTAGATCCAGCAAGGCAGCAGCATCGGAGGGTCACCGGGACTCAGAGGCCTGGGCTCCAGCCCTGGCTCTCTCCCAGAGCAGCCCCACCTTCCCCAGACTGGAAATGGCCCCCTTAGATGGGGAAGGAGACCCCTTAGCACCCATTCTCTTGAGCTACCCTCTTACCTGCCCAGCTGCCCGGCTTGGGCCTGGCTTCTCTGGGCCTTATTGGACCCCAAACCCTTTGGACCCCTCTCTCTGCATTCCCAGATAACTAAAAGTTAAGATAAGAAAGGACTTTGTGTTCAAGCCGCAAAAATAAAGGCTACCTTCATACTGCCTTCATGGTTTACAAGGTGCTTTTATGTCCATATCCTGCAAGTCAGGGCCCGAGGCGGGAGGCTCATCCCCATCTTGCCAGTGAAGACACCAGGACCCCCAACCTCTGGGCAGAAGGAATCACATGAGGATGAAATGGGACGAGGCCAAGTACCTGCTCAGTGCTGGGGACAGCCTGGCACTCAGCTTCCTTCCCCTCCTGGATATCCAGACATCTAGGTGTTACAGAAATTTGTAAAACTTCTCTGCCCCTTTGGGCAAGCTCTTTCACCTTTCTGGACCTGGGCTGGTTGACCTTAACTTCTGTATCATTCATTCATTCTGTCATTCATCATCCAACAAACATTTCTGAAGCTCCTTTTTAGGCCTGATACCATCTTGGCATCAGATGTACAAGTGATGGTCAGTGCAGACCCAGACCCTGCTCCCTGGCACTTACACTCAGGACGACTGATGCTGAGTGAGCAATTACACGGGGGCTGAGTGCTCAGAGGAGAAGCAGGTGACCTAACTTGACTGGGTGTGGGGTTCAGGGATGGCCTCCTTGAGGAAGTGATATTTTAAGCCAACACCCACAGATGAGCTGGAGGTGGCCTAGTAAATCTGCAGAGGAAATAGTGTTGCCAAGGCAACAACCAGCCACATGGAAGCGCCCAGGGATGGGAGGACAAGATAGCTGAGGCCTGATACTCAAAGTGTGGTCCATGGACCAGCAGCATGGGCATCGTGGGAGGGCTTGTTAGACATCTCAGGCCCCGCCCCAGACCTCCTGATCAGAACGTGCATTTTAACAGTTTCTGGGTGATTTCTTTGTGCCCATTAATGCTGGAGAAGCAGGAGTGGCTGGAACCTAGAGATTGAGGGAAACAGGAATTCAAGGTGAGACTGGAAAATTTGCCAGGGCCTGGTCATTCATGGTAAGGCGTTTGGATTTGATTCTCAGGGCAAAGGGCAGGGCTGTTTTTGTTTTTTAATAGAAGTGACACGATCAGGTACATGTTTGGAACACTCACTCTAATGGCTGTGTAGAGAATGGACTTGGAGGGAAGTGAGAAGAATGGTCAGGACGCTGCAACTATTAACCAGAAGAGGCCCCTCCTCATGCCAGCTGTCTGAGATGATGCGGGAGCCACCCCGCCCTCCCCGCACTCTGTTCCCTGGGCAGAGACCCTGGTCGGCTCTTCCAGGTCTGCTTCTCACTGGAAAGGCCTTAGCTCCCTCTGGACTGAACTCTCACGGCAGGGATGACACAGCCACCTGACCGAGTTAACTGCGTGAATTTAGGAGATAAAAATAACAATGCTCAGTGCTGTAAGGGTTCCGGGAGATGGACCAGCTTATGTACTTCTGAAGAGAACATGAATCAGAAGAATTTTTCTAGACAGTAATTTGATCATATGGGCTTTAAAAACGACCCTGCATTGCCCTGACTCAAATTCTGCAAGTCAGGATCAGAAATAATCAGAAAATCAGAATAAAATTGTATCATTATTTATTAGTAGCAAAGATTAGAAACTCCTGAAATGTCTCAGGAATAAGGGAGCGGCTAACTAAAGCAGGGTGAGTGCCCTCCATCAGGAATTCTGCAGCTTTTTTTTTAATGAGACGTAGAAAGGATTGTGACCATGCATTATAATATTGAAAGAAAAGGATTAAAAATTATAAATGCAGCATGGTCTCAACTGGTAAAAAACTATACATAGATAAAAATGGAAGAAGATACATCAAAAATGAACTATGATAGAAATGTAGGTGACTATTTCCCTTCTTTCTGCTTTTCTGTATTTTCCAAATGTTCTATAATAAACGTGTTATAAATGAGAAAAAAAGGAACTGATTGAGTTTGTCCTCTTGCACAGGTGATGCCATGGTCCTGGAGGCAGATGTCACAGTAGAAGGACTCGGCACGGCCAACGAGACAGGGCTTCCAATCATGGCGCACCCGCCAGCGATCTACAGTGACAACACCCTGGAGCAGTGGCTGGAGAAGGTGCTGACCTCTTCTCAGAAGGGTAAGGACCTCTCTCAACACCTCCCTGGCTGCCCAGCCCTCTGGTCCTCAAGCCGCATGTCAAGGATCTCTCCACTGGGAGGCAATTCCAGTCCCCGTCAGAAGTTGCTCGTTGCCTCGGCTTTCCAGCCCACACCCTAGAGGCCTGGGCTCTGAAGATTGGTGAGATGAGGGATGTAAAAGTGCAGGATAAGCTGCAAAGGGCCAACCTCGGGCAGGGTGTTCCCTCTTGAATCCACAGAACTGGACACACATGCCCAAAACCAAATTCCACCTTCCCCTCCCATGTCTCTTTGTCAATTGCAGTCAGAATCCAGACATCCCCCTAATGCCTCTCCCTCATCCCCCACATACACTCATCTGCTGCATCTGCCAGTTCTAACCCTGAATCCTACCCCTTGATTCAGCCCCAGCCACATCATTTTCCCCCTGGACCTCCTTCCTTACTGGTTTCCTTCCTCCAAACTCAACCCCTACCTGAGTGAGCTTTCCAAAATGCCAAATGTCATGTCACTCCCCAGCTTTAACCATCCATGGCTCCCCACTGTCCTCAGGACAAAGTGTGATCTCCTTGGCCTGGCTTTTAACATCCTTCTCTAACTTCCCACCCTCATCTCTGGCTTTTCCCGTCATTCCCAGCCCCCACCCCCCTCAACAGAATGGGCTATTGTTCACACTGGGTCCTTCCTCTACATAGACAACCCTCCTCCACTCACACGCCCCCTCCCAAAGACCCAATGACCTGCCCACAGGCTCGAGTGGCCCTGAGCCTGCCAGCTCAAGAATCACAGTCCCTTTTCATCGGATGCTTGACAACCCCTGCACCAGCCCCAAGTCCCAGGCCCTTAGCCGTCCTCTGCTTCCTCCCTTTGGGGATGAGGGATGGGAGCTCACTCCTGCAGAACCAAGACCTTCCTCTTCAGGTTAGCTCTGCTTGTTTGAAAGCCCTTCTTAACGCCAGGCCAGAATCTGGTCCCTATCTTTGCCATACCACCCCCCATACCTGCTTTCTCTGCCCCAGTAAGTCATGTCTTCTGGTTCCTTCCTCCTGGAGCATGAGGGACCAGTTCCTCAAGCCCCTGGACCTCTCCCCACAGGCATCAAACTGGACTTCAAGAGCATCAAGGCTGTGGGCCCCTCCCTGGACCTCCTGCGGCGACTGACATCGGAGGGGAGAGTCCGGAGACCTGTGTGGATCAATGCCGACATCCAGAGGGGCCCCAACGTCCCCATCCCAATAGAGATCAATGCCACACGGTAAGTGTTCACCTCTCTGCCCAAGCTGTGTCCAGTCCTCTTCCTTCAACATCTGGCACAGAAGGTCCTCAGGGGACCTTTGCTGAATTTGCCTCCAGCTACACTATGCAACATCTGAGCCTTTGCACATGCTGTTCCCACTGCCTTAAATGCCTTTCCCCCATTTCCTGATGAAACTCTGCCCAGTCATTACCTATCCCAGAAACTTCCCTGACACCCAAGGCTGCGGAGTACCTTCACCCACGCTTCCTCTTAACACAGTCCTGATTTCCTTGCGTTATCATTGTCAGGTTACAGGTTTGTCACCCCTACTATACCGTTTACTCCTGGAGGGCAAGCAAGGTCTAGTCCAGTGACCAGGGCAGCACTTGGCCTGCTAGAAAAGTCTAAAGCCCTGACTCCTTCCCCAGGCCCCTGAAATCCCAGCACTGCCACCAACAGCCGTCACGTACACCAACTACATGGTGCTCTCCAATTCACAAAGAAGGACCACATATAAGGAGAGACTACATCTGAGTTTGATTTTCACATAGCAATGCCAGGTTAGGAGCATTTTTTCCTCCCCATTTTGCAGATGAGAAAACTGACAATAATTGAGGCTCAATCTGTTGACTGTTTATTATGTATCACAGGCACTGTTTTAAGTACCTTAGTTGTAGAATACCATTTAACTCTTACAATGACAATGAGGTAGGTACTATTATTTTCATTTTGTTAATACAGGAACTATCTCACTAAAATTAAATGATCTGCCTAAGTCTAGTAATACACAGAGCAGAGATTCAGAGCCAGGCTTTTATGATTCTAACCCTCATGCTCTTTACCATTCACCTCTCCATCCATCCATCCGTCCATCCATCTTTCCAGCCAGCTAGCCAGCCAACCATCCATCCATCCAAAATTTATCATGATTCTCAAACTGAGGTGCATCTGGAAAGCAGCAGTTTGAAAACGTAGTCAGTGGCCCAAGATAAAAGTGGTTCATCTTCTCAGAATGATTTTACTCAATAATTTGGGGAGAGGGAAAGGGTGATTATTTACCTATTAAAATCCGCATCAGGGCAAAATTTGAACGAAATTTTAAAATAAAATCTGGAAGTTCAGAGACTCCACAGATGATAGAACCCAGATCCCACACCCGGGGTTCTGGACTGCGTGCCCCCTGTCCAGGTAGGGACGTTTAAGAAGCCCTGTCCTGCTTGAAAGGATGCCATCTTTGAGAATCAAAGAGGTTGGGTGAGCTACCGAAGGTCACAGAGTCAGGACCCAAATCCAGACCTCCCGGACACCAAAGTCCAAGTCCTACTGTGGGACTTCTGTTCCTTAGGACTCTGCCCTTATCTCATAGATGCAATAGGTCCTGCCTCTTCTTAGCATTGATGGGAACCCAGGAGATGAGGAAGGGGCTCTAAAAGATCAGCATCTTTTATCCTTTTCAGGTTCCTGGCCTTGGCCCAGGAGAAATATCCTGAGGCAACCCTGTCTACAGGCTGGACCACCCTCTACCTGCCCATGTTCCCGAACAGTACGTATACCCGAGCCATGGTGGAGAAGATGCAGGAGCTGGTGGGAGCACTGCCACAGAAGGTCACCTTCCCTTTGTACGCTCTCATGGCGCGGTCTGCCTGGCCCCACTTCAGCTGGCTGCTGGGCCAGTCTGAGAGGTGAGAGCTCCCAGGCCCCTGCCACAGCCCCTGCTCTCTCCAAACCCATTCCCAGGCACTGATGCTCCAGGAAGATCCCAGGTGCTCATGGCTAGAAGAGTCTTAATGATCATCTGGTCCAACCCCCTCTGGTGCCCCCTTTCCCTACAGTGTCCCTGCTTCCCTGCTTCCTGCTTATATACCTCTGCTAATGGGCAGCTCACTATCACCTGAGGCAGCCTGTTCATTGGTAGATAATCTTGCCTGTTGGAAAGTGTTTATGCTGAGACACAGTTTGTCTCCCAGTTTCTCCCATGGGAGCTGGCTATGCCCCTGGGGCTGCACAGATTGCACCTGCAGCCTTTGCCCCAGGATAGCTCTGTAGGGATTGAGAAACCCCCATCCCCACCCCTGCACTCTGCTCCCAGCTGCCCAGCACCACCTTTCTTAGTCTCTCCCCACAGGAGTCTGGAGGCTGCCCCTTTCCCCTCTTCATACCTGACCTCTCCCCCTACCGCCTGTGCCCATCTCTCCTGTCCTTGTCTTTTTCCTAAGGCAAGACCCAAAAATAGACACTCCAAGTGAGGAGGCAGGGCAGGCCATCCCCTCCCTCCATCTAAGCCTCTGTGGTTTCTTCTGCCCCCAGGAAGGAGGTAGTGCTCTGCCCCTGCCCAGCTAGGGTCTAGCTCTGAGCACAGAAGTGGGGCTGAGGACTGCTGAGCCCGACAGGCACTGAGCCGGCTCTCTGGGCCCCAGGTACAGCCTGACGCTGTGGCAGGCCACCTCAGACTCCGTGTCAGTGGATGATCTCCTCTACATCCGGGACAACACCGCCCCCCACCAAGTCTACTATGACATCTTCGAGCCTGTCCTGTCACAGTTCAGGCAGCTTGCCAGTAGGGAGGGGTCTGGGGAGGGTGGGGAGGGTGGGGAGGGCGGTGGGGCTGGATTCCACACAGGGCAGCAATTGGTGGAGCAGAGCTAGGAAGGGTGGAGCGTTGGCAGGGGGAAATCCTGGGTGGGATGGGAGGAAGGAATTGTTTTAAGCATCAATTGTATGCCAGACCCCGATACAATATGCTGTCTAAGTCTCATAGATCCATGAAGCATGGATTCCATTTTACAGAACAGTTATGTAATTTACACAGTCATTCAGCTTGTATGTGGCATAGCTCAGACTGGAACCAGCAAATTCCAAACCCCATCTGCTTCCCCTTGTAACACAGCTCCTCTGAGAGTTACTCTGGCAGTTCAGAGAATGGCCGCTCCACCATACCTGCTAATCAATGATCCAGACACTACCTGTTCCTTTGTCCAAACCCTCATTCCCTGGACTCCAAACTTAGGAGAGCCTGCAGTTAAGTCATCTCAAAGGGGACCCATCAGACCCAACACTCCTGCCATGGGAGCCATCTAGGCGAGGGGAAAGAATACCAGCTTTGGGGCCAGATGGATCTGGTTCCATCAGGTTCTAATCAAAGCAACTCCGCCTCCTGGCTACAGGACCTTGGGCAAGTCACCTGTAATCTACAAAACAGGGAGTTACAGCTCCCCGGAAGCTTGCGGTGAGGCTTAGGGAGGATGTGTATAGGGCCATGGTACATAGAAGGTGCCCCACGGCTGGTGGTCACTTCATCTTGGCAATTTGTCCCACAGTGAATGCCTCACGGAAGCAAAACTACTACACTGGGGGCAGCCTGATCCCGTTTCTCCAACTCCCTGGGGATAACAGTCTGAGCGTGGAGTGGCTGGTTCCTGACATTCAGGGCAATGGAAGCACAGCAACAGTGGGCCTCCCAGGTAAGGTCTGCCTGCAGTCCTTGTGCTCCTAGCTTTACTGTGAGGGTTTCCCATGCTGGGGAAGCCACCTCAGGCCTCAGTTACCATGGCAACACAGCTGCTGAGGTTAGGGAGTACAGTGCTGGCAAGAGTGTGGGGCTCCTGCCTTCAGACCAGCACCTGTGAGCCCTCAGTCACATCATGCTGCAGGAGAGGCGGGCACGGGCCCAGAACTGAGTTAACAGCTTATTGGTTAATTCTCATGAGCCCCGGGCACATTTATAAAGCAGCCCTTTCATCTGGAACCCAGATCCCATCAACAGGTCCCATTACCCCCCTGCTATCCCTTTAGCTTCAGCAAGGGCCTCTGTCACCCCAGGATAACCTAAACCCTAGACACTCTTCCTGCACTACCTCTTCCAGACAGAGAAGGCATGATCCTGCTGAACGTTGGCCTCCAGGAGCCCGCAGCTGAGAACCCCATGCCCTTCGTGCGTGCCCCAGATGGCCGTGCCCTGACACTGGAGTCCTGCCTGCAGCAGCTGGCCACACACCCCCGACGCTGGGGCGTCCATGTGCACATTGCAGAGCCCACAGCCCTCCGGCCAACCCTGGCCATGCTGGCCCACCTCTCTGCCCTAGGCCACCTGTCTAGGCCTGTGTGGGTCGGGGCCACAATCTCCCACGGGAGTTTTGTGGTCCCTGGCTATATGGCTGGCAAGGAGTTTCTTACAGCTATGGCTGAGGTTTTCCCCCATGTGACAGTGGCACCACGCTGGCCTGAGGAAGTGCTGGGCAGTGGCTACAGGGAACAGCTGCTCACAGATATGCTGGATCTATGCCAGGGCCTCTGGCAACCTGTGTCCTTCCAGCTGCAGGCTGGACCGCTGGGCCAGAGCACGGCTGGAGTGGTGGACAGGCTGCTGGCAGCCTCCCCCCGGGCCACTGTCACAGTGGAGCACAACCCTGGTCGGGGCAACTACGCATCTGTGCGGGGAGTGCTGCTGGCAGCCAGAGCCGTGGATAAGACCCGAGTCTACTACAAGCTACCCCAGGGTTTCCGTGAAGACTTGCTGGCAGATGTTGGTAGAAACTGACCACCCAGGGGTGCTGGGCTGGCAGACCCCTGGGTAGAGGCTTCCCAAGGGGGAGGCGGAAAGGAATAAATGCCTCTGCCTTCCTCAGTGCACTGCACATGTGTCCTCGGGGCAGGATGGAATGGGAGTGGGTGTGAGGTGGTCACTGAGGGTGCCTAGAGGGTCTGGAGGCTGGGGGCCAGAGCGTTCCGGTTGTCCAGGAGGAACTGCTCACAAGCCTTGAAGGTGGTGTAGAACTCGGAGGAGAGGCCGGTCACATTGGTGGTCACGTAGTTGAGAAGGCCCGTGGTAGCCTGGTTGTAGTAGGACACCTGCAGGGCGGGAGGCTGCACTCAGGGAGGTGGGGGCGCGGGGGGCGGCTGAGTGGACAAGAGGCAGGAGGGAGGCAGCCTTGCTTGCCTGCTAGGAAGGCAGCAAACAGGAGCTGGCACCTGGGGCCTTAGAAGATTGTATGACTGGCAGGCCTGACCTCCTCCAGCAAGTCTCCCCTGACCCCTCCTCTGTGTGCTGACAATCCTGGCTTCCCTCTGTCACCACACACTGTACTGTCACCAAGTGCCTCCCCTGTCAGGTAGGAGACTCTGGAAGACAGGAACTGGGTCTCCAGAGCCCAGCATGGACTCCCTTTTAAAAGAAGGTGTTCTCTGGGGCCACACACAAGTTAAAAGAAGCCCAGGGATCGCCCCGAGAAGCTCGCCTGTTTAAGCGTATTATGTTAGCAAACATTGTCCAAGGTCCTACCTGGGAGGAGTCGCAGGGCCCTAACAGCCGCTGTGAGCTGAGGAAGGGGAGCTGGGTATCCCCAACCCCACACGCTCTCAGCTCCTCCCCCAACACTTTCAATTAACACTGACTGCTCTGCTGAGTTTTATGGGCCCTGAGAGCCATATAAAGCCTTCCTAGAAAGAAGTAAATAAGGAGATGGAATTTTAGATCAGAACACAGGCCTTCTGCCCTCGGCGTCCAGAGCTTTTTCAGAGACCCTGCAGTGGCCTCGGACTTATCTCTGCACAGATTAGATCTTATTCTATCTTAATGAAGGCTCATTTTCAGACACTGTTAGGCTCCCCTAAGCTGGAAGAGAGAGCCTGCTGGCAGGTGTGGCTGAGTCTGGAGCTGAGCCGGACAGCACTGAGCTCTGTGTGGCTTTGCGGGTGAATCTGGGTGGTAGGGGGAAAGCAGACACAGGGCCTCACCTTGGTCAACTGGTCCCCCTCGCGCCAGAAGCAGAAGCCCGAGCAGAGGGTCTCCCCCCGCCTGTACTCTGGCGTCTCGCGGTGCGTGGGCAGCGTAACCGACCTCAGTGCGATGACGTAGGGGTCCCTGGAGAGAAGGAAGGGTGGGGAGGGGGCAGAGAAGAGGGTGAGGGCCTGGCTCCGGATTCCCCTCTGGCACTGACCCAGGGTCCCAAGCCTCCTCTGCACTGATGCCCTCATCATTATCTAAGGCACATAAAGCCTGGCTTTGGGTCCGCTAGAGAGAGGAGGTATCTGTGGGTTAGCAGCTCTGAATTTGCCAGGAGCCAGTGTGACCACACTGTGGATTTTCTGGAAAAGCCCCACCACTGCAGACACTCAGGGAGCAGTGCTCCACTTTGGGATTTTTGCGCTTCACCTTTCTCCCCTGTCTCGAGCAAGAGTCATGCCATTGCTCCTGCATCCTCATCATGGCACAGCTCGCAGCCTTGCCACCCTTCAGCCAACATGGGGCTTTTAGAGACTGGAGGCCAAAGAACTGCCCACGTGAGAAATGGCCTGTCCATGGCCTGGGGCAAGGCAGCCTTGCCACCCCAGGGACAGAGAACAACCTGCTTTAGAGGATGAGTGACCAAAAGGGCCGTGCCTCCCCGTGTCCTCCATTCTACCCACAGTGTAGACCACGGCCCACAGGAAGCAGCGCACTGACTCTAGGCTGAAGTCCCTTCCCCAGGGGAGGAGGATGAGCCCTGCCCACCTCCCACCCCAGCAGGCAGGCACGCACCCATTGTCACAAGGCTTCCGCCGAGAGGCCAGGATCACAAAGTCCTGGGGCTTGGCATCACTGCCGAGAGGGGGGCTGATGACGTGGTAGATGGCATCATCCTCGTCCACCTGCTGCACTAGCTCCGCGCTCCTGTGCAGAGCCCATGGGAGTCACAGGGGAGTTTCTGTCTGGCCCAAGCCCTCCCAGGCTTCAGCCTCCCCGAGCAGATGCTTAGGGGACATTTCACACCCAACACTGCTGAGCAGGGATCAAAGGAGGGCAGGAAGGCCTGGCCAAGACGGGCACACACACACAGGCACACACACAAGCAAATGCACAGCCCCACACATGCAGACCTGGGAATAGACTAAGACATACACGGACGCACCCACACCTGTGGGCATACCTATGTGCACAGACACATAGACACCCACCAGTGTGCACACAGGTGCACGCACCCTGCACAGATGTGTGATGATTGAGCAGTTGTTCTATACTTAATATTTAGTGAGTGCCCACTGTGTGCCAGGCACCGTTCTAAGTGTACTGTCTCATTTCACCCTGCAGCAGCCCAAGGTTGGTCTCAGGACTCCCATTTTATAGATGAGGGGCCTGAGACCCAGAGATAGAACTTGTCCATGGCCACAGAGCTAATAAGGGAGCAGGGCTGGGACGTGCTCAGGCTGCTGGGTCTCAGAGCTGTGCCCCTCAGGCCCAGATATACTGCATACACATGCCCAAGTAGAAACACACAGGTTTACACCAACACACACGTACACACACAAGGCCATCCACGCAGAAACATGCATGACCAAGTCCAGACCTGCCACCTTTCCCTGCTGTCCTGCCCACCCTGGGAGCTGCCTCAGCAACAGGGCAGCTGTGGGCAGGGTAGGGGGAGCTGCTAGAGGCTCCCTCCCCTCAGGCACGCCCCTCAACCCCACCAAGCATCAAGATCTGATCAGGCCTCCAAGGCCCACGCCAGTCCACCCCCTCCAAGAAGCCTTCCTACCACATTTCCAACCCCCTCCCCGCAACATCCACCACTAAATCACCTCTCAAGCTTCTAGAATGGCATGGTCAGCAGGCCTGGGGTCACCTAGACGAGGGCTTTTTAAAGCAACACAGCCCTTTTTGCAAAGAAACCTTAAGCAGAAAGCCTGTGTACGAACAGCTACAGGCAGACCTGCTTTGTGAAGACAGACGTGGGTTGGTAGGGGAGGGCCAGTTTGTCAAATATCAATTCACCAAATGACCTGCTTACTGAGTTTCCAAATACACAGATCCTCCTTGGATACACCCAGGAATATAGGCTCCTCCTAATGAGCCATTGGAGAAATGATCAAAGAACCCCCAAAGGACGGTGTTGGCATAAAAGAAAGTGACTTTAGAGAGATACAAAAAAAACAAGAGTTTCAACTTTAATATTCCCATATTAAACACTGAAATTTTGGCTATTTTCCTAAGAATAAATTTATCTTCCTTGGCTAAATTTGAGAAGAAAATATTCACATGGAGAATCAGTAAATTTGGGGAACAAATGTATTCATAGGAATAACATATTTATATTCAGTAACTCACTACATTCAAAAATAACATTCATATCCATACAAGAACCGGTAAACTTGGCGAATTCAGCAAACTGGCCCTTCGTTAGTTACCCTGAGCCTGGGAAGGAGTCCCACCCACCTCCTCAGCCTTCCAGCTCCCACCCCAAGCCGTCCCTGAGTCCTGTCTGGGAAGGCAGAACTCCACAGAACACGGTTTGAAAATCACTGCTCTATTCCTGAATATAAATCCATGACTCGTATCTTAAGTACCCATTTTAACAGAAGGAAAACTGAGACCTCAAACAGCTATGACTTACCTATGGTCACATAGCTAGTTGGGCCATAAACAGGACTTAAACCCACACCCCCAACTCCAGTTCCAGGCTCAGTACCTTCCCCAAGGGCTCAAAATACCCTTGACTCACACCCGCCTAATACATAACCATAGTACCCCTACCCCACGCTAAAGGCCAGCAGGGACAGAGCACAGTGGGGGAGGGTTCAGCAGGAGGCGACACCTGAGGACCTGCCCTCCCCACCAAGCCTGAGCAGGGACCATGCCCCATCCCGACTCCTACCCCTCCACCTCCCACCGGGGTGCCCCACCCTCACCGGTAGTGCTTGTCCCACTCGGGCCTCCGACGCAGGTCTGAGAGCAGCAGGAAGGCCTGGGCTGCGTCCACGTGCACCAGCATCTCCATGTGGAAGGAGAGGAACTTGTCCTCCTCTAGAGTGTACAGGCGGACCTGCATGGGACAGACAGCAGCCTCGTTCCTGCACCTCCTCCTCCGACTATGCTGGAGGCCAGGGTTGGAAGCTCAGGGCTGCCACTGACTGCTGTGTGACTGTGAACAAGCGACTCAACCTCTCTGAGCCTTGGTCGCATCCCTATGAAAATGAGCGATTCAGCACAAGCAGACAGGAAGGGGTCTGAAGAAGCGGTCACTGAATGGGTAATTGCACTGTGGTCTGATGAAACGGTGCTCAGGCATGACATGGAACAAACCACAAACACTCCGCAACACGAGGTAATTTCAGATGCACTGTGCCAAGTGAAAGAAGTCAGATTCAGAGGTTACATTCTGTACAATTCCCTGTATTGGACGTTCTCAAATAGACAAAACTGAAGGGACACAAAACTGATGCATGGTTTCCAGGGGATTAGGGTGCGAAGAGGCTTGACCACGACGGAGAATGAGAGAGTTTGGGGGGATTATGGAACTATTCTGTATCTTGATTTTGGCAGTGATTATGTAATTGTATGTGTTTTCAAAACTGGTAGAATTATACACTAAAAGGGGGAATTTTACTGTATGTAAATTAGACCTTGATTTTTTAAATGTGGAAAAAAATTAAAAGAGTGACTGATGCAACAAGAGAATGGATCTTCAGAGCCAGGTGCCCAGCCGACCCCCTAATGTCCCTGAGGGGAAGTGACCATCCCAGGACACAGACAAAAGTGGCAGAGCTCAAGTCCTCCACTCAGCCTGCATGTACCCCAGGCTCCACCCCTGCAGCACCTCACAGTAGAAGGAGCCAGGGTGGGGAGTGGGGAGCGGTGAACAGCAGGGCAGGCAGTAGCAGGGTGTGATGGGGGCAAGAAGGTGGGCGGGCAGGAGAGGACTTGGAGCGGGGAACCCCTCTCCAGGCCCTGGTGGGGCAGGCACGTTTCTATAACTGGGTCGGATTCATGATCTCATCCAGTTCCTTTGAAGGAATCCCCTTTGGACACGAGTGGTTTGAGAGGGTTTCTGTGGCTTGCAGTCAGTCACCTCTGGTTGCTCAGAAGAGGAAGGAAAGCTGGGAGGGTGGGGTCAGCTACCTGGTTGATCTCCGAGGACAGCACCCAGTTGTCCTTGGCCACGAGCATCTTCAGGGAAGAGACGTTGTTGTAGCTCAGGCACACCTGGACGGAGCACACAGGGAGGCCTCACCTTCTCCCCTTCCTCGGGGCTCCACGCCCGGGCCATGCTGAGGTGGGCGGAGGAAACTAGACGTGAAGGAGGATGTCCTGGGCACTGGGAAAGGAGGCCCGGGCTTGGCCAGACTCGCTCCCCCTCTCAAGGCCCCAGATCCTTCCTGCCAAGCAGGAGGACCCAGGAAACCCCTTGGCTAACTGTACCAGTCCTGAGGCATGGAAGCAGTATACTGTCCCCTCTGGGCCTACCTCCAAACCCACTCTGACAAGAGGACAGGGGCGGGGCAGTGGGCAGCCTGGGCAGGCAGAAGGCCTCACCTGGTTGCTAGGGTCCCAGGGGACAGACAGGGGCATCTCCGCCTGCTTACAGGACACGATGTACTTCCTGGGAGAGAGGGAAGACGACAACCTTGGTCCCTTGGGAGCACATCTCTTTCGACAGACTTCACTGCAGGCTTCCTGTGTGCCAGGCCCTGTGCTCAGCCCAGCAGGGTGGGAGAGACTGCTGTCTGGCCAGGGAGATGGGATGGGCACACAGAAAACAGCAGCTGAGAACATACATAGTGAGAGGCCGGGAAGGGCCGGGGAGGGGAAGGGGCAGACCCTACAGCCCTGCTGAGCGACTTCACTCTGGCTAAAGTGATTTCACCCTTATGCCTCAGTGTCCTCATCTGTAAAATGGGATCGGTAGTCACACCTGCCTCCTCATGGGGTCATCATGAGGGGAATAGTATTTGGCATATGGTAAATCCTCCATAAATACACATGCTTCTTATTTACATTGGATGGTGAATTCTGGTGCGTTTACAGAACTTTCAAGTCTGCAAAATGCTTTCCCAGTAGTTACTCACACCTGGGTTTGCTTCTTAAGTAACTACATCTCTCAGAGCCTTCCTTTCTTCATCTGCCAACAGGTATCAGAGGCAATGGAAGGAGCACAAGATTTAAAATTGGCCAAACCTGGCCAGGTTCAAATTCTCATTCTGCTGAGCATTCCTGTCTGTCCTCGCCTGTACAATGGGCCATAAGACAGCTGTGTAATGAGGCCAAGACCAGAGGTTGCCTGACATAAAGGCCCAGCCCGGTGCACAGCACAGGGGCAGCACAGGAGAAACACAAGTTCCCAGGGCCAGGGAACAGATGACAGCTCTGAATCTGTGTCCCCGTCCCACCGCCCGGCCCCCTACTTGCCTGTCCAGGCGGATCTTCTTCCTGGCACTGGCCTCTCGGTACCGCCGCTCACCATCCTGGGGAGAAGAGCGGGGACAGACTGTGGTGCAGGCAGGACAGCCAGCCTGTCCCCCACCCAAGGGCCCACAGAGACCCCGCAGCCCTGAAGTGGAGGTCAGGTCTCCCTTGGGCAGCCAGCCACTGAGCTCCAGCTCCAGCTTCCCCTCAGACTCTCGGAGTGACTTTGGGAACACCACCTGCCCCCTGGACTGGTTTCCTCCTCTGTAAAAGGGGGTCCCCAAGGGCACTTACAATGCTAAG